CCACTGTCCGAACCAGCATTATTATATTGTGATAATCAAGCAGCATTACATATAGCAGTCAATCCAGTTTTTCATGAACGTACGAAACATATTGAAATAGATTGTCATATAGTTCGAGAAAAATTACAAGCTGAATCATCAAACCGTGTTATGTTTCGACCAAAATGCAATTGGCAGATGTTTTTACTAAAGCTTTGGGAAGACAGCAATTTGACTTTTTGAAGGACAAGTTGGGTGTGATCGACATACACTCTCCAACTTGAGGGGGAGTATTAAGAGGATATTTTGCCGTGATAATTAGTTAGAATATATCTTAGATATTTAGGAAGTTGTTAGTATAGATTTGATTAACCGTATATTTTATTTATTTACCAGATTTAATTAGATATATATTTTTCTATTTTTAGGTATTAGTTGATAGTTTGTATCCTATTTAAACGTGATAAACCTGAATGAAGATCATACTTTCGATCCCAATTCTATTTCTATTTCTCATTCTTAACATTAATATTGAGCTCTGTAGAAATTAATTTTGAAGATGAAATTAAAACATTGATTTTGATGTTATCTTACTCAAGTCGTGGGAAAATTAAATATATAGGTCTTAGTAAAAGTATTCACAAACTATAAGTTGGGGATTCATCGGTCAATGCCCTTAGTGTTGATCGAAGGAAAGAAGTAAGTCGAAGGGCCCAAACATATATAGCCGGTACACAAGGGAGAAATGATAATCTTTAAACAGACAAAATGTAACACCAACAGGTACATACTAGCACTTCAATGCTATTAACTTCTTTTAAAAGTGTTTAAGATTTTATTAGAGATCTTAGAGTGATTCTCAAACCGGTGCATAAGGAAAAAAAATGCTCGGAAAACATCAAAAAAAAATTACGAAAAAATTGATTAAATTGGAAATTTTGGGTCAAAGTCAATGGGGTAAAAATATAAATTTTCTCCCATACACCACTTTGAGTGCGTCAGGGCTGACGTGTAAAGAATAGAAAAGAAGAAAATGGAAAAAGGTGAATGAAAGGGAGTTAGGGTTTTAAAAAGAAGAAGAAGAAAAAGAAGAAGAAGCATAAAAGAAACGCTCAATCCGACCCTTGAATAACTAATTTGGCCAAGGATTCCTCTACAGACGACCTACTTAGGGGATCAAGAATAAGCGGTCTGTTTGATTCCGTCAAGAAACGAGAAAGAACATGAGGTAAGTGTTCGACCCTTTTGTTTTAGAATTGCAACCTAGACCCAAGGGTTTTTGTTGATTTAAGTTCTAATATTCAACTATAATATTCTAGGGTAGGATCTTGCAAGTTTCATGTTGAAACTCGGCCAAGAAATGTGTCAAAAATTGAAATCAAGAAAGTTCTAATTTTAGTGAGAAATTAAACTTTTTCTGAAATTTGAACTCAATTATTAAGTTATGTGAGTGCCAAATAATTTTAAGAAAATTGTTTTTCGATAGGTTTGCATTTAAAATGTTAACGGATTGGAATCTTGAAAAAAAAAATACAATGCAGGACAATCGGGACGGTCACGTGGCAACTGAAGAGAGGAAAAATATGTTTTACGACCAATAAGGACACTTGTCAAGCATGCAGTGGAGAGACGTGCCCGATGTTGAGCGCAGACACGTGGTGCCTGCGAGCAAACACGACTTATATATCGATCCGCGACTATAGCTCTGCCTAGCGTGTGAGTTGTTCTCTTTTGCTGTTTTGACCTCCATTTACTGATTTTCATCCCGATTTTCATATTAACTCCATTTTTACCTAAAATAGGTTTCTCCAAGGGTTTTCCATAAATTTTGGGGACTTTTTCGGCCAGTAAATTGTACTTGGAAAGACATATGATAAACTAGTAAGTAACCATATCGAATTAGGAAGAAATACTCTACGAAGTGCTTGGTGAAGCATGTATGCTTGTAAAAATATTAACTCTAGATGGCTAGGCCTGTGCTTAGGGAGTTAACTAAATATATTGATGGAATTCTCTGACTTGATTCTTTTATGCTTCTTCATATACTTTACTACTGCTTGTACATAATATCCCATTGAGAATATGTAATTATATGCATGTTAAATGTGTACATAATATCCCATTGAGAATATGTAATTATATGCATGTTAAATGTACATCAACTCCAAAGGAATGATTGTGTGAACTTCTTTCTATAGATAATAAGTAGTAGGGTTGATTTCACTCTAGGGTTTGCATAAATAGTGATTGGTTTAAGTTTAGACAAGGGACCCTCTAGATGTTGCATTCAATCGAATCGTGAGGGACGATTAGAGAGTGAGACTCTTTAGCCCTTCACAATGATAGAGTCAGGGAGTAAGAAAGTAAGAAATTGTGAAACTGGAAACTAGAGTCCTTGCCAAAACTGCCCAATCACCCTTGAGACCTAGAAAGCCACCTCAGAACCTCGTGAGGAAGGAGAAACATCTCTTACCCAAAGTAGCTGGTATAGCGTTTGAGGAGCTTCCACTTTTCCTTCTTACTCCAATATGGTACCGTCAAGCTAGGCGTGACGTTAGCTAGGGTCATGTTACTCAGCGGTAGATCTACTACTCTACATGGTGGATCCACCTTATGGTAAAACATTAATCATGTGAGTAATCAATGGTTACCTTGTACAGAGGATCTGTTCTATGGGAGGACGTTGATCATGCAGGTAACCTGTTCGAGCTGGCTTTTACCAGGTGGTAGCATGCCCTCAATTGGGCAACTTCATGACTTATAGGATGGGTTCACCAGTTAACTTTTTCATGGACGATGAGTAGGCAAGCGCTCACCATGTTGTTCCCCATATGGTACAGGGTTATATGGGGTAGCGCCTCATCCTCAAATGCTGAATACTGCTGCAAAGGTTAGTCTTCTACCTAAGGATGCGTACAAAGACTGTTGAAACTCTAGAACCTAGAGTAAGCTTGTGATTCGCTTTTAGGATAAGGATGCGATAAGAGACCACATGTAGGTTGCTTATTGGGTATATTTATACTCACTCCTTTCTAACTTCTTTTTTAGGTCTGTGAAGTTACAAATCATGGCGTTGGGGTGCTCGAGAGTTCGAAAGTCACAGAGAAAATCTCGACCCAAGGCATCTGTCTTGATTACATGCACATAATTGATATTTAACATACACCATGTATCCTAACCCCGTTCTCCTCATTACATGAACTTGGCATATGTAAATATACATTTTGATCTTACTCTGATTTCGTTTTCATTGCTCGTAAAATTTCAAACTCCAGCAAAAAACTTTATAACTTATTTTATGTTACCTGTTCTTTGATTTTTATGCATTACATAGTTTGTTGAGTCACTCTTCTTCTTTCAATGCCTCAAAATATAAAGTGTGACACAAAATGTAACAGGTTAGAATTGTAAAGATAAGAGAACTTTTGGACATATTATACTAAATCGAAGAAGCAGAATCACACCTCTAGAGTTCACCATGATTTTTTATATTCCACAGAAGATATTGAGGATGTTATGGTGGTATCATGTGGCACAAAATTTAGAGTCTTATATACCACTACCTTGTGTATAAACGTAGCTACTATTATTGAGAGTGCTTCAAGTTCAAGTTTATGGTACAATAAACTTGGACATATAAACGTTAAAACAATGAAAATACTGGCTGCGAAAGAAGTTATAGAAAGCTTTAAATTTATTGATATGAGTCTTTGTGAGAGCTACGTTATGGACAAGAAGAATCGAATTAGCTTCACAACGGTTGCCAAAGAACTAAAGAAAGTACGGTTGGAAATGGTACATACAAACGTATGAGGACCATCTCCTATTTTATCACTTGGTTGATCTAAGTTCTACGTCACCCTCATTGATGATTTCAACCAGAAGGTATGAGTTTATTTTTTGAAACACAAGTCAGATGTGTTTGTAAAGTTGAAAATCAGATTGGGTTGAAGATCAAATTCTTGACGCTTGATAATGTTGGAGAGTACAACATGTCATAATTTAAAGCATATTGTCCGGTTGAGAGAATTCGATTAATGAGGACAATTTCAGATAATTAGAATAACAATGACCGTTCCTAACATGCATGGTTTTTAAATAGTAGTTTCATAGGTGACTTTTCATTTTGGTACCGAATATTATGTTAAGGCTTTGTTTTTTACAATATTTTTATTTTTATTTCTTGTTTAAATTAATGGCATAAGTTTGATGGCTTCATTTGAGATTTTTCATTATAGATTTTTTTTTTCATATATTATCAAAGGCGTGCATGTAGCAAAATCTCTAATCTAGGTAAGAAAATTAGAGGCGTTACAAGCTACATTCTGTACCTTCATGAACCAAGTTTTTCATAAATACCTAGACAAGTTTTTTTGTAGTGTATCTCGACAATATCATTGTATGTATACAGTACCACGATTGACGAATAGAAAGCACACTTATACCTAGTATTTGAAAAACTAAGGCATAACCAGTTGTACATTAAAAGAAAAAAGAAATGTGTTCCCACACTAAACTGTATCAACTTCTTGGATCGTCATCAAATGGGTTGCATGGAAATAGGTTGAATAAGTAGAGACATTACAATATCGTTTATTTTTTGGTGCTCAGCGCCATGTCCATCTCCATGTTGATATATGCATTGAGCCATTCTACCAAGATTTTTAGCTATCTCGATGAACACACGAGGAAAGAATGAATTCTCGACAACAACCGTATTCAACTTTTTCCACGTCTCATCAATCAAATGTTTTATATGTTCACGAGCACTATTCTCTGAAGCTCCCGTATCATTCATATAACATTGTATTGATTTTGGAACATCGCCTCTCTCTAATTCAATCCGAATAAAATGTCCATCCCAAAATCATGTTAGTAAATAAATGTTCCAAAATGTTAAATTAAATAATCTATATGGAATTTAATTAACTCAAAGATACACTTATCTACTCTTATACATAGGTTTTAATTGTTTTAATAAAAAAAATGTTTGCTTGTAATGATGATACAAGATTTATTGTTCATACCGTTGATGTTCCAAGATCATCAGCAAGTCGCGCAATTATGGAAGAACAACGAATTATATCAATATGTTTTTCCAAGCTCTCCATGTCTTGGATCATTGGAGATGTCTCGGAAGCATATACATGAATTAATAGAAGTGGTCCTCCTATTGAAATCCATGCATTGTCTAGATACTCTTCTAATGTTGGTTTATAACCGGTGTGATACCACCTAGCCTCCAAGATATAAGATTTGCATAAATCTACCCACTGTAAAATTCAATTTCCTTTTCAGGAAGTAAATTACATGATAATTTTTAAAGTTAAAAGAGTCGATTATAATCAAATTCTTACCGTTTTCTTAAGGTATTGGATCACATTAATTCCTTTGTCTCTCAACAATTCAAAAGCCATCTCATTTACAGAATTGTGGAGACCAAGAAAACATATTTTCATATAATCAGGTAGCTGGTCGAGTGCATCAACATTCCACCTAAAATTATAATTTAGGAGAGGGTTAAATATTTATATATTTCCCAATTAAAATCGGTATTTTATTTATATTTTAATAAATATTTTATTTAATTGTTTAAATTTTAACAACTAATTTATTATTAAAGTTTAAGTTATTCCTTTCGTGAGAACAAAAAAAAAATATTTTCTAAAGTTTTCTTTAAAGTGATCAATTAAAGAAATTAATAATTTGGTAAAAGAAATATATATTTATAGATTGCTAACCTTTCTACCGCTTCCGTAAAAAGCTCAAGTTCATCTAATGTGCCATATACATCATAAAGGTCATCTATTGCCGTTATTAATACACCAATTTTTGTGGCCGTTCTTCTAAAATATGAGAGCTCAGGTTCAAATCCCATACCCATGGTCCAAAAGAAACATTCCATCCATCTATCCCTTGCAAAGCTCAACTTTTCGCTAAATCTAGTGCTCCTCCACCACCTAATTTGTATGTTTAGTCAGCAAAAGAGTGTTAATGTAATATACAACCATCAATCCAATATTCTTTTTCTTATTAAAAATAAATTTTGTAAGTAAGTTTGTGATTCAAAACAAAGTTTTGATGAGAAAAAAAAAATACCACGTACCATTATTTTCAATACTTCAAATATGTTTATCATAATCATACCTGGATGCATATTTAAGATCTTCTTGGTGGATGGATTGCACTCGATTGAAATCTAATTTAGCAATTTCAAGAAGAATAGGGTTCATATCCACTTTTCTCTCGTAGATATCAATGAACCATCTTGCATCCAATCTTGACATTCGCCAATGTATGGGAAACTCCAACGCATGTCTAATAATGGATGCTTCATATTCATCCTTGCACGATCTCATGTATTTTTCCAAATAGTTGATTGTAAAATATTTTGCTGTCGCTAAAATGTTCTCACCTTCTATACATAAGAATGAAGCTTCATACAATGATAACATTCCATTTAAATCTCGGTAAAGTCTTGTACTAAAGTTCATGGCCTCATCCTTAAAATTATTGAAAACATCTGTCATTATAATAAAAAAAAAGTTGTTAAATTAATAAGTATGCATTATCTGACGCAACAGGACAAAAGTATTAAGCTTTCATATTGACATTTTCACATATTTGTAGATTTGACCTTCACTATTCCATTATACCATATTAACATTAATGAAATAATTTAAAAACAAATAGAATAAATTGAAGTGAAATAAAATCGTATTCATTTAAAATAAAATAAAATCAAATTCATTTATAAAATGTAAGAAATATATATTACCTGATGATACTTTTACCGTGATAAAGATCAAAAAAGAAAGAAAGGAGAAGAAAGAAAAAAAGGACAAAAAAAAAAAAAATCTATACCTTCTGAAACATTGAATCCATGTTGTCTTAAAAGTCTGAATTTAAGTGATGTTGCATACAGATTATTCTTTTCTAAATCATCACTTTCATTGCTCTTCTCGTATGTTCTTTGCAACACGTTTTTAATCTCATTCTCAAAATGGTATGAGATTCCAAGTCGTTGTAAAGTATCAATTAACTCGAGTTGCTTTAGAGGATCGTCTATTATTTGGTTCATAAGCTCACCAACCTCTTCCTTTAGCTGATTGAAGCGTTTTACATATATTTCTTCCTGGACACAACAAACAAGTAATTTCTCACTCTTTATAACCTTTAATGTAAATAAACAAAGAAAACAACTAATTTAAGGATTTCTATCATTCATACCTTAAATTGGCTGCTTAATGATTCAATGTACTCATGTTTCCAAATAGAAGGCTTGTAATTTCCAGACCGTCGTACAATGGTTTGATTTGATACTCTTGCAACGCTACTTACTTTATCTGTAGGACAGATAAATGAAAAGCGTGTGATGGAATGATTCATCATAAAACGAGTGTGAAATTGGCGATGAAGGGAAATGAAGACTGTTGGTTGATTTAATTCTGAGGAGAGGTAGCTTAATATATATAGATGATCCAAACCTGGCTTTATTCTCTAATATTATTATTTTTTTAATATATTAAATTTGTAAATGTTTTAAGAAAATATCCTGCTGACCAAATAGATTTGAAGCCAACTCATTGCTTGTCCTCACATCTCATTCAAAATGTTCTCAATAAGAATGAGGCTTCATACAATAATAACATTCAATTTAAATTCCGATAAAGTCTTGCGCTAAAGTTCTTCGTCTCATCCTTGCAGTTATGGAAAATCTCTGTCATTATAATATAAAATATTGTTAAATTAATAAATTTGCATTGCCTTAACGAACATGATAAGAGTATTAACAATACTTAATTTTTCAGAGAATTAATGTTGATATCTTTATTCTTATAATAAAAAAAAATATATGTGGAGAAAAAAGTTAATACCTTGGGAAACAATTAATCCATATTGTCTTAGAAGCCTAAATTCAAGTGATGTTGCATACACGTTATTTTTTTTCCAATCATCACATTCATAGCTCTTCTCATATGTTATTTTCAACACATCCTTAATCTCATTTTCCGTTGTAAAGTATCAATGAGTTGGAGTCGCTTTAGAGGATCATCTTTTATTTTGTTCATAAGTACACCGAGCTCTTCATTTAGCTCATTGAAGCGTTCTACACATATTTCTCCCTGAACAAAACAAACAAGTAATTGCTAACTCTTTATAACATTTAATGTAAATAAACAAAGAAAACAACTAATTTAAAGATTTTTATCCTTCGTACTCTAAATTTACTGTTTAATAATTGAATGTATTCATGTTTCCAAATACGAGGCTTAAAATTTCCAGACCTTCGTATAATGTTTGATTTGATACTTTTGCATCACTCTTTACTTTAGCAGTAGGACAGATAATAGAAGAGTTTGGATCAAAATAAACTTGTTTGATGGAAGGGTTAATCGTAAAAGGGGCGAAGAAGTTTTTCTTCTCACCTTGAAGTTATGGAAAACCTTTGTCATGTTCATATAAACCGTTGTTAAATTAATGAATACGCATCATCACATATTCGTACATTTGACATCTTCCGAATTGTTATTAATGTTGATTTATATTATTTTATTATCAATTTACTTATTAAATGAGTTTAGTTACACACTTTAATTTTCATAAAAAGTTAATTAATACGTATGGGAGGTGAATTTGTTGTTGGAATCGTCATTTTGCGTTTATTTGAGTGTTTCAAATTTTTAAATTTGGCCAATTTTGTAAGATGTTTGAAAAATTGGGTGCCGTCATTTCAAGCCAACCCATTGCTTGTCCACCATACATAGCTTATCGTCTCCTCCTTCACCTACAAAATATGCTTCTACAAGAGTGACTCAAGTTAAAATATTTTGAAACTATTTGGATTAATTAAGAGACTAATTAAGAGAGTTAATTAAGAGAGTTAGGTGCATTAATTCATTTTATCGGTTCTATCACCAACCATGTCTTTCAAATTATCCACCACACAATTTTTCAATCATAGATCAAGCATATTTAACTTGGTTTTCTTTCTTCACAGAGAACCTTAGCGATTATCACGCTCATAACTTTGAAACACAAAGTAAGTGCCTACTGTTAAGGATGGTAAGATTGAGTTAAAAGACAATCAAAAACAAATTTTTTATGTAGCAATCAGTTGGGATATGAAGCTTGATGCTGATGCGTAGAAATATATATGGTAGATATTTCGTAAAGATCTTGTAAGGACATATATGGTAGATAGTTGTAAAGATTTGGTTGGATCTATTTCTTTAATCTATATTAAGTAAATTGAAACACGGTATATATACCCATTAGGTATTGCTTCCAAAATGTATTTTTCTTCTAAAACCTTTAGTCAATATTTCTCGTATTTTCTATCTCCTGTTTTTTGTGTTTATCTTGATCGAGTGTGTGCGTTGTTGAGAGATCCTAATAACTGGTATCAGAGCGAGGCAAAATTCACCACGATTTGTGAAGATGAAAATTTCAAAGATTGGAATTGAAAAGTTTGATGGACACGATTTCAGATTCTGGAAAATGCAAATTAAAGATTGTTTGTACCAGAAAGGTCTTCATGAACCCCTGTTGGGGGAAAAGTCGAATACTATGACTATGGAGCAGTGGAAACTCAAGGATCGTCAGACCTTAGGGTGGATCCATTGACGCTGTCCAGAAACGTGGCGTTCAATATTATCAAGGAGAAGACAACGTCAGATTTGTTGAAGGCGTTGTCGAATATGTACGAAAAACCGTTGGCTATGAACAAGGTGTATTTGATGCGGAGATTGTTCAATCTACAAATGTCTGAAGGTGGATCTGTTTCTAATCATATAAACGAATTCAATATGATTGTAAGTTAACTAAGTTCAGTAGAAATTAATTCCGAAAATGAAATTAAAGCATTGATTTTGATGTCATCTTTACCCGAGTCGTGGGATACTGTTGTTGCCGCAATCAGCAGTTCACGAAGATCTAATAAACTTAAGTTCGATGAAATTTGAGATGTAGTTCTCAGCGAAAGTATTCGCAAACAAAAAATTAGTGATTCATCAGGCAATGCTCTCATTGTTGATTGAACCTTAACTTTAGAATAAGAAGTACGTGCTAATTATCACCACCACCTAAGTTCCCTGTTAATTTATATTATTATTATTGTATAATCAATTTACTTATTAAATGAGTTTAGTTACGCACTTTAATTTTCCTAAAAAGTTAGATTAATACGTATGGGAGCTGAATTTGTTGTTGGAATCCTCATTTTTCGTTTATTTGAAGGGTGTTTCAAATTTTTAAATTTTGCCAATTTTTTAAAATGTTTGGAAAATTGGCTGCCGTCATTTCAAGCCACCTCATTGCTTGTCCACCATACATAGCTTATCCTCTCCTCCGTTCACATAGAAAATATGCCTCGAGAAGAGTCATGGTTAATCTATCTGTTTCAAAACAATGTCGTGGACTTATATGTTTATAACAAAATCGTTAATACAATTACCGTGGAAAAATAAACCACATGAAACTTAGACAATAAAGAAAAATTGAAACAATACCTTATCTAATTTAAGGGCGACAAATAACATGAATGCTTCTACCCTAGCTCCATTCGAATGGTCATAACCACGACATTGTCATCTATGCAAATGTGTATTGTCTTCACCTGAAAAGTAAAAGTATCACATGGCTTGAGTATTTTAAGAAATACTCGGTAAGTGACCCCATTACTGGGGTTAGGAAATGTATACACATACAATTGTATTAGGGACCTATCATGAAATATCATTTCAAACGCTCAATCTTGTTTAGAAGCTGTAAGAACAAGTTTGAAGGAAAATAATTAACAATTGATCTCAATTGGGAAGAAATATGAGACTAGGAGAACCAAACACTGATAGGAGCTCGACTCAACACAATTCTTACTCCATATGAATGCCCCAACTTCAGACTTTATAGGGAAAACTTAAACTGACATTGAAACCTCCATAATCATCATGATTTTGAGAAAAAGTTTCTAGATTATCCATCAGAGATATCATCTCTGATCTGTGAGCTACTAACTTCCAATTTGAATTCTAGTCGTTGGATGTGGTGAGTTGTATGTTCTCTATAACATACAAAATTATTTTGTGAAGATTCAAAGGTTGGATTTGAAGATTCTAGGGATTTTCGAATGACTTTCCACTATTGCAGATTTGATTTTATAATCCAAGGCATTTTTGTAATTATCATGAACTTTGGATACATTGTTAATTTGCGATTTTTCGAATATATTATTATTCTTTTTCTCAAAAAAATCTAAATTTTTTTTGTAAGCATTCTTCATCCTTTGTTGGGTCATTTTTTCTGCTCATGAGCATCTTGAAATTCTTTCTGGATAAGAAATTAAAAATTCAAAAAATTCTTTAAAAATTAAAGAAAATGACTTTTTTTTGTTCTTTTTGTTTATTTTTTCATTTCCAATCCTTCTTTCAAAGGGCTCTAACTCCCTAAAATTACTTGTTAGGGTATAGAAATGAATTGATTTAGATCATTGTCCTTGCTTAAATCCATTAAATCCTTTTCTTGGATCTTTTGGATCTTAAACGGGCGTCATCATCTTATTTGGATGTTACATAATGGGCGGTTTAATCTTATTTCGGTGTTACATATACGACGGTAGTTATTTAAAAAAAGGAAAAAATATTGAAAAGTTCAATTCTTGCGATGCTATTAAGAGGATATTTTGCCGTGATAATTAGTTAGAATATATCTTAGATATTTAGGGAGTTGTTAGTATAGATTTGATTAACCGTATATTTTATTTATTTACCAGATTTAATTAGATATATATTTTTTCTATTTTTAGGTATTAGTTGATAGTTTGTATCCTATTTAAACGTGTGGTAAACCTGAATGAAGATCATACTTTCGATCCCAATTCTATTTCTATTTCTCATTCTTAACATGGTATCAGAGCACCGATCTTGGTGTTCTTAAATATCAAAATTTCCTTTATGGCGGAATCAGCCAAATTTAGCTTCAAAATTTCGGATGTTGATTTAACACATCCGTACTATATTCATCGCTCTGATCAGCCAGGATATTCACTTGTTCCAATCAAATTAAATGGAGCAAATTATCAATCCTGGAGTAAATCAGTTATGCATGCTCTTATTGCCAAGAAGAAAATTGGCTTCATTGATGGCACAATTGAGGAACCGTCCCAAGATGCAAATTCAACCGAATTCGAACTCTGGAATCAGTGCAACAGTATGATAATATCTTGGTTAACTCATTCCGTTGAAGCAGATATCGCTAAAGGCATTATTCACGCCAAGACAGCTCATCAAGTGTGGGTTGATCTTCACGATCAATTCTCACAAAAGAATGCTCCAGCAATTTTTCAAATACAAAACTCGATAGCAACGATGTCACAAGGAACCATGGCACTG